TTGAGCTCAGTGATGCAGGATGACCACACGAGGCAGCAGTGAACCAGTAGCTCTTGTGTCTTTGTGATGTTAAAATCCCTGGTTTTCTTTTTGGACGTTGGTGTGAGTGAACTAGAAATGGAGACTGTTATATTATCATTTTTTTCACCTGTTAGCTGTTTATAATCATCTGTTAAAAGCTGTTAAAAATAGTCTAATAATCTGTTAATAATCTGTGTCTAATCCCTGCTGCTGCCGTCTCTGTCGGCAGCCATGTTTTCTCTGACAACACGTAAACAATCAGCAGGTCGACTGGTGTTAATCCTGACCGCTGCAGGTCTCAGAAACACTCCCACCGCGGCCGCCGTGTACCGCTCACACACTATAGACTGCCATTTAATTAACACACACACACACACGCACGTGTGTGTTTGTACGTCTGTGTGTCTGTGACTGTGTGTGTGTGTGTGTGTGTGTGTGTAGGACGGTTCTCAGTCGTTCTCTCTGTGGGTATTCAAGGGCTTGTTCACTTCACCGCTGGGGCGAATGGGCCCCTACCTAATTACACTGTGTGTGTGTGTGTGTGTGTGTGCGTGTGTGCGTGTGTGTTGTACAGTAGGCTGATTCCTAATTACTGTCTGCTCCTTGTATTCCCTCAGTGCCAATACCTTCCTGCCTCACTGAACCCTGTTCTCTCTCTCTCTCTCTCTCTCTCTCTCTGTGTGTGTGTGTGTGTGTGTGTGTGTGAGTGTGAGTGAGAGTAAAAGACAGAGAGAAGCATATCATGCCCTCTGACAAACAAGACACAAGAGAGGCTTAAGAAACCCACCGGGAACGCACGCACACGCACACACACACGTACACACGCACACACACACACACACACAGTATGGCATTGTCAAACCATATAAAGAACGCTGAGTTGTTTCCATACCAGAGGCCTGAGATGAACTCCAATGATCTTCAGTGATATATTCCAGTCTGACCACAGCTGGACCGGGACCCGGGCGGGGCGCGGGGCGCTGCGGGGGGCGGCGCGGGCGCCGC